GTCGTAACCCGAAATGTTCGTTAGTAGAGGCGTTCGTATCCCGAGGTACCACTGTATAGCAAAATAAAACTTCACTCTCTTGTATCATCTTTATTTCCAATTCCCCCAAAGAGGTTTGCTTCTAGGCAATTCTTGGAAACATCTGACTCAATAAATGAGAAAGATAAGAAACTAGGTGGTGGTGAAAAGTAAAGTAAAATTTCACTTTACTTTTTTTTTTTTAAATGGATGCTTGCTGACCAGCCCCTTGGCAGTATCATGCCACTTGAAGAGATGTTCCCTATGTCCCCACGTGGAGCACCAAATGGAATCTGCCCATTTGGTGAGAACATCTCAGAGAAACCTGTTTAAGAGCTCCCCCATCAAAAGTGAGGGAGGAGGGACATGGACAGAACCACAGATCTTTTCCGTGGCAGTCCCCCATTTTGGAACCTTCCCCCAGCCCCCCAGGTCTGTAAAGCTCCCTCCTTCCCTCTTTTAGATCTTTAAAGACAGTTTTGTTTCTCTGGGCCTTCCACTCTAGCTACATTGCACTGGCAGTTCCATCTTCAGTTTGGTAACTTCAGTGTATTCCTACAGTTGTTTTTATAATTTTAATGTGTTGTAACCTGCCCAGGGTGGTTTCCCTTGGACAGGCTATAAAAACAGTCAAACTGACTGATTAATTAATTGTGGGAAACTAAAATGGCAGCCCGCCATTAGCAAGGAAGCCTTCCAACCAGATTTTGTGCAGAAAATCAACTATGTGGATGGCCACAATTCTCTACAACTATAGGTCATATTGCCACTTATCTTTAGTGTGCAGTGTCTAGATCCCAAGCAGCAGCAGCACACACACACACACATACACAGGCCGGTATCTTGTAGACAGGTAAAGCGGGACTGTGTATGCTGGATCCAATCCTCCCTGTATCTTATGGAGGACGCTAATGCTGGATCCAACACATGGATCCATGGATCCTGCCAGGGATCTGAATACAGAGGCTCTGGAGCCCAATCTGAAGGCAGGGAACTCAATCAGACCCTCCTCCCCAGCAATTCAGCCTCCTCTTGACTTGGCATCCCACCTCTTCCTTGTGTTCATGAAGGACTGGCATTAGGGCTCCCTACCCATCCCAGACAAGATGACTCCCTTGCAATGCCAGTGGCTTTTTTTCCCCCTCAACGGAGTGCCCGGAGAGCAAGGGCTGGCATTTCAGGCTTCTGATGCAGGAGATGGCAGTCCTATGCTGGGCTCTGCGCATGCATCAGAAAGGGTGTGTAAGGAAATGGCACAATGGACTGGACCATTTTGAATTCCGGGTAAGAAATGATGCTGCAGAAGGCATTCTTTTTGCTTAACGATCGAGCAAAAGTCATCTTGGAAACTACAGGGACCTACTAAGTGCTGTGGAAGGCCATCCAGTTGCATAGGATTTATAGCAAGGGGGAAGGACTGAAGGTGGTCAATTCCATGTCTCCCCCTTTATAGAGTGGCGCATTCCTCCCTATGTAATCTCCCCAACGCTGCCTTCCAGACACTGATGGACCACAGCTCCAGCCAGCGAGACTGTAGTTTGGCAACATCTGGAGGGAAGAGACTGGCAACCCTGATCCTCTGCAGCTGGCAGTAGGTCAGAGGCCTCCATATAAAATCTTGGTGGGACAGAGTAAAGGGAGTTGAGTGATCAGGAGGCTTAAGGTCATATTGAACCACAAAGCAAGTGGGAGTCAGGCTGGGCCACTTTCCTCTTGCAACCAAGCCTACCTTGCAGGGTTCTTGCAGGACTCATATGGATTGGGTGGGGGAAGAAGACCAATATGTCACCCTGAACTCTTTGGAAAAAGGCAAGAGAATGTTATTGGATATATTATTATTGTTATTGTGTGTGCATTCTGCATTCCGGTCAGTGTTCCTCAACCTTAGCAACTTTAAGATGTGCGGACTTCAACTCCCAGAATTCCCCAGCCAG